CTTACAATTACAGGGCCTTTTAAACTTTTTAAGATCCACACGCGACTTACTTCGGAATCGGGCATCATCCTTCTGACGTCATATCCGGCGCAAAGTTACTTGCCTAAACCTACCTTTGCCTGAATCGGCCTCCTCTGGGTCTGCAGCTGGACCCTTCTCAGGAGTGGAGAGGTGAAACTGGAGCAGCATGTGAGAGTTCTCGACACAATGAATGGAAAATTTACATTCCAAAAACGCACTGACGACACAATTGATAAAGATAGAGTGTTGTGCCTAATTTGTAAGAAGGAGTTTTCTTACCACCGAAGCAGCTCAAATTTAGCCTCCCACATCAATGCAAAGCACCCAGTCGTGAGTGCAGCCACGGCTAACATTAGCACCGAAAGCGTTAGCAATAGAGGGAGCCATAGCAAAGCTCTTCGCCAAACTAAACTCGAGGAGAACTTCCCACGTACGAAGCATGAAGTCAGCATAGCTGCTGTTTCTTCTGTAGCCTATTAGAAGTGGTTGATGTTTATTTCAGCACTTTATTTTGTCATGATGAACAGTGTTATTTCTGAAGTGCTAATTTACAGCACTGTGCTTTAAGGGTCTTTTTTATTTATTATCTGAAGCAAGTTCCGTGTTCAGTACTTGTATTGCTCAGAAAAGTGTTCTTACTGTTTTTGATATGTTAACCTAAGCACTTTTTATGGACCTTGTCTTCTCTTTTATTTTGTTTATTATTTGGAGATTTACAAAAACAAAACGGTGGTATTCCCCTTGGTGGTCGAAACTTAAAGTTGCAGGTAGGATTTGGGATTAGTCTCAAATACAGCAGAAAGTAAATGGCTTGGACTGCATCTGTTGAAGTCTGTTTAAAAACAATAAAATACTTTATAATACCACTTTTTTGTGATGTGAATCTTTTGATCTGCCTCAATGCTCAATAATGTAAGGAATTTAAAGCGAAAATAAGGGTTTTCTCAGCAATTTTTAGATGATATTAAAATATAGATTAATTAGATCAATTAATTACAAATCATAATTAATGAATCTCACTTTTTTTTTTTAATTTCTTGACAGCACTAAACCTAACCTTAGAAAAAAAGTTCCGCTTACAGTTCCTGAAAAGTGTCTCTATAATGCCCCAGACAAAGCTTATTTTCTAAATACTAGAGAAGAGAGTATTTTTCGTGATTATCATCTTCTAGTTTTTATTTTATTATTTTTGTTAGTGTGGAACCTATTGACTCAGCCATGGACTCTTCAGAAGATACTTCAGTCAGGCAACTCACATTAATAGTGAAGTAAATTGAAAAATGCAATCAATGATCAGAGTGAATCACTGGCAGTAATGATATCAGTGCGAGATAATCCAATTATTGCAACACAGAGATTCATTCTTTATTGGTATTTGGGTGCTTTGCCTGTCAGAATAAAGTATGTACCACTTTCCTGCCTGATCAAAGATTCGAGAGACAGCATTTAGAGAAAACGAGAATACATGTGGGCTTTGAGTCACACTAATTAAGGAAAGACTCCAAGAAATACACACTATCTTTTTTGGCTTGTATGGCATTTTGCCTTAGATAGAATATAGATATTTAAATGCATATTAAAAGTGTCGTTTTCCAATATGGTGTTTAGGGTTCTCAATACCTGATAGAGAAGTCTATGAGCAAAATTGTATCATGTTTAAAGTTTCATTTAATTTGGGCACGTCTAAACTTTTGGGTGCATATCCAGCGCCCCCAAATGCATGGTCGCAAAGGCGCCGGCCGTCTGGGCGGAGGGCTTTTGAGGTCCACAATTATCACGTCAATGCAAGGGGGGGGGGGGACAGGGGAGAAGGCTAGACTCGGTCACAAAGGGGGAAATGAACAATTCGGGAACAAAGCGTTGTTGAACAACAAAAGGCGATTTGAGAACACCCGTCGCGCCCAGGCGACATTTGTCGCCTGCAAAGTCTGCAACTTGTTGATTCATTGTAGTCCAGACAGAAAGGCGTCAACGTATCGGTGGTTCAAACCTTAAACCAAGATAACCAATCACTACCGAGGTGCCGGACTGGGGGCGAGGTATGCAAATATTGGGGGCAGTCTTTTTCTTGTATTTTGCAGATGTGACAATAAAGTTCAAACTGGCGGAGAGGGAACTCTGAGTGTGGTTACCGGGGCAACAACCGTCGTTCGACCTCAGAGATCCCTCCCGCCGATTTTCCCTGTGTGCCGAGTCACTTCTTTACCTTTGTTCGAGAAAAACTCTGACAATACCCAATTGCAAAAGTATTTCATTCACAAGTGGTCAAGTGTCATGGGCAAACTGTATGCCAAATAGTGGTTTACATGGTCAAGTAGAACATCCCATATCCCAATCTATGAACTTCTATCCAACCATTTTCTAATACGCTTATCCTCACAAGGAGGGTGGGACGTGCTGGAGCCTATCCCAGCTGTCTTCCAGCAATTGGGGGGGGGGCACCCTGAATGGTCAATCGCACGGCACACATCGACGAAGAAGGAGGAAACCGGAGTACCTGGAGAAACCCTACTCAGGCACGGAGAGTACATGCACACTCCACACAGGAAGGCTCGAGCCAGAACTGTGGACCTCTGCACTGTGAGGTGGATGGGCGAACCAGTTGGCGGACGTGCTAACCACTCGACCGCCGTACCGCTCTCGATGCAGTTCCTTTTGCCAGAATTAGTCGAATGTAGCATGTCATATCAGAAGATGCTTCTAGGGTGAAACTGATGTGATTTTTCATCAGGTTTAGTCACATAAATAGCAAACCAAAACAGAGAATTTTATTGTTGTACAGTTAAACAATTTATCATTTTCTGATCGAGATTGTGATTTCGGACAATGTGCGTGAGAGCCAAACCTACTTTTTCTCATTTTTATTTATGTATTTTCAGCGCTTCTGACAGATCCACTAGATTTTGTGTCAACTAATTGACGTATACATGCCATCTCCCTACCGTCATGCCAGTCAGGAGTGGCATTCTTTTGATGGACAGATCACAGTCACTAAAAAGTATTAACCTGCTCATGTTTTGAAACGTTAATATGTTTTGAAATAGTTTAAGCAGAACCACAAGCAGAGTTTGGAAATTGAATCCCCAAGAAAAATAACACGTTGCTCATTTAAAGTGCCATGAAGAAGTATTTGCCCTTTTCTCAAATTCTTCATTTTTTTTTTTTTTCTTTTTCTTGTGCTTCATCAAACAAATGTGAATATGTTTGCGGAGGAACTCGACTCAACACTTATGTTATGAAGGATTGTGCCACTAGATTTCATGAGTGGACAAGTTTTGGCCACTGGTGTTGCAGTGATTCGAAATTTGATTCACAGTTACATGATATGGCAACGTCGCAAATTATTGCCAATCAAAATGCACTGTAGCTTTCACACAGGTGAAAAATCAGTTCCCGCGTTATAAGTGAGTGAAACACAGCCGCCACCACACGCCACCCAGAACTGTGGACCTCTGCACTGTGAGGTGGATGGGCGAACCAGTTGGCGGACGTGCTAACCACTCGACCGCCGTACCGCTCTCGATGCAGTTCCTTTTGCCAGAATTAGTCGAATGTAGCATGTCATATCAGAAGATGCTTCTAGGGTGAAACTGATGTGATTTTTCATCAGGTTTAGTCACATAAATAGCAAACCAAAACAGAGAATTTTATTGTTGTACAGTTAAACAATTTATCATTTTCTGATCGAGATTGTGATTTCGGACAATGTGCGTGAGAGCCAAACCTACTTTTTCTCATTTTTATTTATGTATTTTCAGCGCTTCTGACAGATCCACTAGATTTTGTGTCAACTAATTGACGTATACATGCCATCTCCCTACCGTCATGCCAGTCAGGAGTGGCATTCTTTTGATGGACAGATCACAGTCACTAAAAAGTATTAACCTGCTCATGTTTTGAAACGTTAATATGTTTTGAAATAGTTTAAGCAGAACCACAAGCAGAGTTTGGAAATTGAATCCCCAAGAAAAATAACACGTTGCTCATTTAAAGTGCCATGAAGAAGTATTTGCCCTTTTCTCAAATTCTTCATTTTTTTTTTTTTTCTTTTTCTTGTGCTTCATCAAACAAATGTGAATATGTTTGCGGAGGAACTCGACTCAACACTTATGTTATGAAGGATTGTGCCACTAGATTTCATGAGTGGACAAGTTTTGGCCACTGGTGTTGCAGTGATTCGAAATTTGATTCACAGTTACATGATATGGCAACGTCGCAAATTATTGCCAATCAAAATGCACTGTAGCTTTCACACAGGTGAAAAATCAGTTCCCGCGTTATAAGTGAGTGAAACACAGCCGCCACCACACGCCACCAAGCGACAGAAATACAGTATAGTTTGTAAACATATTGTGTTTTACCACAATGTTTGACCACGTTTATAAATTATGTGTACCCGTGGATAAAATAGTGAAGCTTGTGTTAAAAATGAATTGAAATGAATGAGAGTGATACCCGCCTTTCAATAAAGTACAGTAAGTAGTCCCACCTACGGACTTCTGTCAAACGGAAATTTCTTCACACAGAATAAAAACCTATGCATTAAAATGTTGACTAGGTCTTACATTAACGATCGATTCATAACAACAAAAGTTGCAGTAATTGGAACCAGGAAGCCATACGGAAACCTGCAATATCCCAAACTCAAGCAAGTCCTGCTCGATACAACCAAATAACTGTCCGCGCCACTATTTACTCTCATTGGATCCAAAACGGCGACATGTAAGTGACTCAATTGGCATGAGTTTTACTGGAATCGCGAACATTTTGTTTTTAAGTTCCATTTATTTACATTTACGTCCTGTAGATCGTGGCATCCAAATGAAGAGTAACGATAATGACCGTGGAAGAGAAAGTGGAATGCTTTCGATTAACTCCTCAGAATACATTGGTTGTGGCTCGGCAGACAGTCGAGTAAACGAATGTTTCCTGGAATGCTTTACTTGTTATCGTGCTTAAAACCTTCCACAAACTGTACTGTTAATTAGAGAGAAGGTGAGTTCCATAGCGCTAACTATGAGCATCGAGGACTTCGAAGGGTTCGGTGGCTGGCTTCAAAAGTTCATTGCGCGACATCAGCTCAGCAACGCTGTCTTAGGTGGTCAAGTTAGAGACAGTGAGTGAGTGGAAGG